AATAAATTTTATGGATTATTATAATCAACAAAATGATAAAAAGTTATAACACGTACTTTTCTTTCCTCATCATAATTTTTAACGCAAGATGAGAATTATGAAAGTTTCTGATAAACGATAAGCAAGACGAGAATTCGTGTAATATAATAGTTCATTGCTATAACGCATTTATCTCGACTAATGAAGTTTAAAGGTGACGACGTAACGTGTTTTTTAACGAATATCTTTAAATTATTTTTCTCTATCCTGATATTTAACACGAGCTGCATAATAATTAAATACATTATATCTGATAATCTTGAATGATCTTGCTACTTTTGTAAATCTTGCTTTATAAACATTTTGAAATAATAAATGAATAAATTTATTTTAAAATTTATATGACAAATAATGATTATTATAGAAATTGTAGAAATTTTGCAATAATTTATAAATTTTCGTTTTAAATATCATATCAAGATCAGATTTTTTAAAATTATTTCGCAGATTTCTCATGGAATATCAGTCAATTATACATATAAGAGAATATAATACAATTTAAAATTAAATGGCTACTTAATTTAATAATTTTTTTTCTAGTTAAGAAACAATTAAAATTGTATTGCTAAAACATTTCTATTTAAAAAAGATGGAAAGGTTTATATTATTAAATTTCTTGTAATTGCCTATACATCAACTGATGTCCATGTGAAATTTCATTTTCATTTTTAAAGGATAGAGATATATGTTTGTTTCACTTTTCAATGACGACTGCTTTTTATTTTATACGAAAAAGTAATTTCTTTCGTGATAAAAAGAAGAATTAAATGTGCTCAGAAAATTGAAGTTCTTTATATTCTTCTCATAATAATAATTTTCTACAACGATAATTGAAGATACAAGGGTGAAATTAATTAATTTTTAAAAAAAATTAAAATTTTGTAAAAATATCCAGTTAAATTATAACAATCATAATCGAATTTATAATAATTTTCTTACTGATATTAGAAAATATTTTCACTGCAAAATTTAAATTTATATTTTTTTCAGTTTACAATCAATTTATAGACCTTCACAATTAAAATTATGTGATTATGTGGTATGTATATTTGAAGAGTGTGAAGGATTTCTATTTAATAGAATTGACGGAAATTAACATTGAAAGATAAAGGAACAGAAATAGTGAATATTCAGCATCTAGGAAAACTGTCGAATATCTTTTGGAGGCTATTAAACTTTTCCAATTTGAGGGGAAAATTCGCGCGGAAACTTTTCTTCAAGTGCTCATTCTAAACTCTCGCCTGGCGAGCATTTATGATGTCTGTAATTACTCCGTATTGAATGGGAGCAACAAATACAACCTTCTGTGCAGCTCATTTTCAGCTAGAATTACTCATTGCATTAATATTTAACCGATACTCAAAAAAAATTTTATATTTTCATAAAAATCATATTTAAGTTTTATATTTTAATAAAAGTCATCTATGGATATACGAAAAACATTTTTTTGACAACTAGAAAAATTTAATATTGAGAATTAAATTATAGAACCACTAAATAATATAAATAAAAAATTGCACACATAGATGGAAGACAAATATATTGAATACTAATCAATAAAAATTTATATTCAAACAATTAATTTCCTTTCTTTTTTTTTTTTTTCAGAAAAAAAGACAAAATGATGATAAACTTAATAATGTAACAAAATGAAATATTTTTTTTGAAGTTTTAAAAATAAAATTCAAAATTTATTCTTTGAACTATCATTTTTAACAAAATGTAATCAAAGTGTTTGTTGTAATCTATCAAAATTAAATTTTAATAATGATTACATCTTGTCAAAAAAATTATTATTGAATTTATGTGTATTATATTTTGTTACAAATATCTGAGAATATTATATTTAGTAAGAAAAAGAAATAATTTTATAATTTTCGTTTAAAATATAAAACATAAAAATGAAGTTATTAGATGATTTCATAGATGATGAAATGAAAATTTGAATTGAAAATGATAGATAGAAATGATTATTTAATAATTCGTAAATGAATATTGAAAATTGTAATTCCAAAAATCTAATAAATATAATACTAATAATTCATAAAATTGTTCAAAAATCATTAATGATGTAGAAATCACCTTTGAAAGTTAGAAAAAAACTATTTAACTATTAAAATCGTAATTAAATTCTATACCACTTCTCAAAATCATACAATCTAAAACATTTTCAAAAAAAAATAAAAAAAAATTAATTCACAAACGAAAACGAAAAGATTTTTTTTCTCCTTTTTATTATAAAATACATGATTATATATAGTGAAAAAATTTTAAATTGATATAATTTATAAAATAACAAAATTTTGAATAAATGATAATAACTTAGAACGAAATTATTTTGTATACTAAAAAAAAATACCAAAGGAAAATAAGAAAAATTTCTATTTTAAGAAATTTTTAAAAACGATATAATTCAATTCTTATAAAAGAAAATATAAGAAAACTTCTATTTTGAGAAATTAACAATAAAAAATAATTGCCATTTGTTTAATCAAATTAGGATAGAAATTGTTTATGAAAACTAGTTTTTCAAGATTCTCATTTTTCGTATTCATTTGTCGAGGAAAAGAATCATCGACATTGTAATTTAGAAATTGTTATATATTTCAAAGAATGATCTTTCCTTCTTTCTAAGACTTTTTATTATTTCTCTGATTAATTTATTTCTTATGACTAATCATTCTTGTTACATCCAAAGTTCATAAACTTATGATAATCCTTAAATGACCCATAAAAATATTGTGACACATTTATTTAGTTATTAAATTATTGTATTTAGAATATTGTAATCAATTTTACATTTATTTCATTATAATATTTTTCTGTATAAATATTGTTTCAGTATTTCTACATTATTCTTCATATTTTTCATATATTTTTCATATATTTATTTATATTTTTTTGTATTAATTTTTTTTAACAACTGATTATTTAATATAATTCTATCAGTTATATAGATTTCTTAGATATTTTATTTGTATTTTGTATAAAAGTTTTATAAAAACATGAGCTAATAGGATCATTCAAAATCAGGAAAATATAAAAAAAGAAACTATAGAATATCAGTAATCTAAAAAATGTAGATTAATATGAAATATAAAGGACACATGTCTGCAAACTAAAATAAACGCGTTGTTTAAAGCCCACGAGCCATCAATTTATATTATTTCAATATTATTTATTTTACGATATATATACGATTGGAATTAATAAATATATATTTGGAAAAATTTGCAAAATCAAAAAATTGTTAAAATTATAATAAACATTAGATATTCAAAAATCATACTTATATAATAATATTGAAATTTAATTTCGATATGGTTCAGAACTTAAAGTTCTTTTTCTTAAATTTTCTTAAACAAGCAATTGACAATATAAAAAGTATGAAAGAGAGATAATCTAAAATAAATTTCCACAAATTAATTTCCACAAGTTTCATGAAGAAATGAAATCAAGGACATATTCTTAATTTCTCAACAATGAAAATAATTGTTGGATATTTATATTATAGATTATTTCAAGTATTTATCTTTGAGAATATAACATTTGAAAAAATGAAAAAATTCTAGAATAAATACATGTGAAAATGGATAATATAAAATCAAGAAGAAATTTTATAAATGAACTCGATGTAAAATTAAGAATAAAATCACTATGAAATTAATAATGATTATATCTTAATACTTAATACTTAATACTTAATATATATCTAATACAGTTCTTTTTTTCCCTACTTTGGAGAATACTTTGAAAAAAAATGGTAAAAGTAATAAATTATTGGTAAAATTAATGAATTAGTTCAATTTCTCATCCGTTATTTGTTTTCTCACATCTACTTACGTATCATATGAATTATAATGTCAGTTCACTAATTATATTATTTTTTCTCACTTTTTCTCACTAAAAAGAAAATTTTAGTTTAATAACTGTACTATTTTCTTTTCACAGAAAAAAAGAATTTTCCTTTTCATGAATTCTACTAAGAACGATGTTATAGATAAATTTGATGCGAAATTGCAAAGTTATTGGAAATTATTGAAATTGCGCAGATGAAATAATGTTACTAGAAAATAAAAAAAATTATAAATGAAACTCAAAACAAGTTGTAAGAAAAGTTAATTTTTAGATGAACTTGAAAAATAAAAATGAAGAGATACAGAATTGGCATTTATTATATATTATAATTCATTTATAGATATTGAAATCCAGTGAATCTGATATAAAATCGTAGTAAAATTAGTAAAATTGTCTTATAAAATTGTTTAACTATAATTAAAATTGCTTGTATTAAATGTTAGAGTTCGATTTAATTTAATTTATTCAGTAACATGTATTCAGTAATATATATGATTCGATTCGATTTAGTAATATTTGTATATATATATTGTTTATTAAAAATTTTTTTAGTGTAAGTTCGATCTATTATATTCTAATCTATTACTATTTAATTTTTATTATTAATTAATTATCTTATCTTTTTTTTTTTTTACTATTTTTACATTTCAAGTATTATTAAATATATAAAATTATAAATTTTGATCAAATTTTATTGCTTGATCGTAAATATTTCAATTTCTCTAAAAAATAATTTTTTCAATCAATCTATCCATTAACTAATTTTAAAATAAGTTAATTAATATTTAATTATTATAATTAAATATTATTATAATTAATTATTATAATTAAATATTATTATAATTAATTATTATAATAATAAAATATTTAATATAATAAAATATTTAAAATATTTAACATATCATTTTAAGCAATTTTTTTTCATTATATCAATGATCAATTTTAATTTTCGAGTTATATATTAATAACATTTCAATTATTAGAATTAGATAAAAAAAATTAATTAATAAATTTATAATTTTTTTCTTTTTAATTTTTCATAAACATCTCACTGAATTCAATATATAATATTGAAATAATTATAATATGCAACATAAAAAATATACAATAAAATCAATTATTATATTTACTGTTATTTTATTATTTATTGTTATATATATAATATATTATATATATATATATATTTGTTATATTTATAATAATATGATTTTATTAATTATTTAATATAGGAAACTACTTTTTACAAATTCTTAATAAATTATTTATTTATCCTAACAAATAAGAATAAGTTTGTATTGGATAATCTTTAGGAGATATATAAGTATATATCTCTATAGGTAAAGGCTCAATATACGTATCTTCTGGTAATGATTCATATATTGGTGTTCCAAAGAATGTACCTACTTCCCAATATGGAAAATCCTTCATTACATCGGTTTCTATCTCTCGCAATCGCTTCATATGTTTTAATATTCTGTAATTAGATAAAGAATTATATATGATTTTTAAAAATTTTTAAAAACAAACTATAATTATATAATACATATTATGTCAAAAATATATATGAAATATCAAAATAATATTAAAATAAATATCAAAATAATTTTAAAATAAAAATAATTTTAAAATTAATGTTTAGATATTAATTGAATGATTCAAAATATTTTTGAAACTAAAACAATAGTAATAAATAAGAATAATCTAATAATAGTTTAATTTTAAATAAAATTGCTTTCCAAAACACTTAAATATAAATAAAAGAAATTTAATAAACAAAAATTCAAGATAAAGATATTTTATATAAGAATAAATATTTTTCTGAATATCAAGATATAAAAAATAAAAATTTATAAATGTTATCTCTTATTTCTTTTTTTAAGCATTTAAAATAATAGTTTAATAATTGAAAAAAAGAAAAAAATATTGAATTATAATCAGAATATGACACATAATTATTTATTGTAAATATTTAAAAAAAACAATGATAAAAGTTCAATTTATAGAAATAAATTTCAGGTTCCTATGAATTCAAATTGAAAAGATAAAATAATTCAAAATGATTAATATATAATTTGAATTAAAGTTTATATTTTAGCATATGGAAATTTTTACAATAAAATGAAAAAATTTACAAAATTATACTAATGAGTTATAAAAATAAAATATTAATAATACACATAATTACAATAATAAATATAACAAATAATATAATTTCTATAAAATATTTTCTAAAAATAAATTATACAAAAATAATTATACTTACGCTCTATCTCTTTCTGCATATAAAATAGGAATTGTAGCTAATTCTTGACTTTTTGCTTCAATATTATTTTGTCTAACTTCTTTCCAATTTTGATAGTAAAGAGGAAATCCAAATACATTAACAGCCACAAATATTCCCATACTCAAACGACCTAAAATTTTTTAAAAAATAATTTACCAACAAATCATTATTAGTCATAATATTATTTTTAATAAATATATATTAAAAAATAAATAAAACTAACTTTAATATTAAATATTTTATTGAATATTTATTCTTTTTTCTATCAAAATCACTATTATTAGCTTTTTCGTATTCTATTATTATGTAAAAACTCATTGAAAGAACAATATTAAAATTTTTCTTATAAATAAATTTTTATAAAAAAATATATAAAATATGAAAATATTATAAAATTGATGCAAAAATTATTTTTTAAAATTTTCAAATTTATTGAATATTTTATAATTATTATAATCAAAATATATAAAATACATCGTACATATACATATATGTGGTAAATATATAAATTTTTAAAAGAATTATTTATATATTTTTAACAAATTAAATGGCTTATATATAATGGCTTATAATTTTAACAATTTTAACATATTACTAAAAAAACATTGCATAGAAATAATATGTTAGATAATGAACGATATAGATTGTAGGTTATACCTGTGAATAAAGTACGTAGTTTAGTTCGTGTTATTTGAAAAGGAGCATATCCTCCTTAGGAGGTAAATCTTGAGTAAATCCTTCTTTAGGTGCAGACATTTCTGATAATTTAAATTTTTGGACAAATAAAAAACGATAAATTCACAAAAATGAATGGCATAACTTTCACCCTAAACGATCTCACATAAGACTAAGACACTAGCATCACTAGTGATTATTTTAAAAATTATTTTATATTATCAGTAAGTATTTATTTAAATAGATTTTTTCTTTTCTTATACTTAAAATTCAAAATCATTATTTCGTAAATTATAAATTTATATAAATATTTATATATAATTAATTATATGAAAAAATAAAATATTAAATTAATGATTTTTAAACTAATTTCAACTAATTTATATAATTTCAATTTTTTTTAATTTTTCTTTCTTATTTTTATTCTATTCTTATTAATTATTTATATAATTATGATTTTTAAATTACTAATTATATTTTATTTAATATTTTATTATATATTATATTTATTTAATATATTATTATATATAAAATATTAATATATTATATCATAAAATTTTAATTAATATATTTTTAAACTAAATATCCAATTAAATAATAAATATATATTAAAATATTATACTTATTTAACATAATCTAGTTTTATATATAGTTTTAGATAAAATTATGTTTATATATATATATATATAATTAATTTAAAATTAATAATATATTATACATAAATAATACATTTATAATAATATATAGTATAGATATCTAGATAAAATGTATTCATTAAGGATAATTTTATTATATTTTCAAAAAAATATATTTAAATATATATTTCATACAAATTATACATAATCTTATAACATAGAATAATTTAAAGATAAATGTTTAATAATTTATTTATCTTATTATCTACTGAGTATATTATATAATATTAAACCTAATTATAACATAATTATAACAGTATTATATAATATTATATATGAATTGCAACATTTTATATAATAAAATAATAAATGACAAAAAATTAAGAGAAAAACAAAAAATTAAATATCATTTAATATCATTTAATCACTTTTCTTATCACCGCTTGATTGAAGACATTTACTATGTTCATCATTTAATCGATCATATTCTTTAGCAAGCGATTCAGCTTGAGATTTAATAGTTTCTTTATCTTTCTTTTCTTTTATAATCTGATCTTCTAATTCTTTATTTTTTGTTTGTAATTCTTTAATTTGATTTTTCCATTCTGCTATTTCTTCATTGTGAGCTTCATTAAAGTCATTCTGTGCATTTTCTGCTTTTTGTGATAGTAAATGTTTTGCTGTTGTAGTTGCAGATTGAGCTTGTCGCATAGCTGCTTCATTTTGGGCTAATAAAATAGCTTGTGCAGAAATTAAAGTAACAAGACGTCGTATAACAAGACTTAAAAACAATGCAAAACCACATATATAAAAGTTTCGTTGTGCTCTAAATAATCTCATATTACCTATATAAAATAATGTAATAACATTATAATTAAATTCTTAAAATAAATAAAATATTATGTATTATATAGTGAAAATATAAATATACATACCTTGCATTTCAGTGTCCAAATGATATTCTTTATGTTCAGTACTTGTAGAATATTTTCGCATTTCTCTAATAGCATCCAATAAAAACAAAACTAATATTCCAAGTAAAAGTAAAAAAAAAACGATGCTTGGTTACTTAATCTTTTTAAAAATTTAGATTTAAAAAATCTTTGCCATGTTAAAGGTGAAATAATTGGTAATAATAATAATAAAACTACTAAAATTTCAACATATAAAAATCCAGCTATTAAAGTCCATTGCAAACTCATGTTTTTTAGTTATTTTAATATCTAATCTACTTTAATATCTAAAAAAAACCACAAAAACATTATTTCATTTTTATTTTTATTTTATTAAATATCATGCATAATATAAAAATCATAAAATAGTAAAAATATACAATTTAATATATATACATATAGATATATATATGTAATATTAAAATTTTTTTGCTTTAAATAAAAATTATATATTTAAATAAAATTCAATGAAATTATATATTTATTTTTCTCTTTTTTTTACAATATAATTATACTACATTCAAATGACTATATATAGCAATAAAAAATAAAATTAAAGTTAAAAATAAATTTTATCTATTTAAAACAATTATTGCATCTATAAATACTATCTAAATCATAAGTAATATTTATACATTTATTGTTATTATTATATATTTATATTTATATTTATATTTTATTTTTTTATATTTATATTTAATATAATAGAACTTAAAAATAATTTTAATATATTTTAAAAATTAACTGACCTTTAATTGTAGATATATATCTTGATTTATGCCTAGGATTATCAAAATAATTTAGTAATTTATATAAAGAACTGTGACAAGGACCTTTAAATTTTTTAATCAAAAAATCAATATATTGTGAATTTAGTAAACATTTAAGATTTACTTCATGTGAATTGGTGTTCATGAAATGTTAAACCATCTGCTTATTAAAGTGCGCGAGAAATTGAAAACAACTATTTTTCTTTGTGCTGTGACAATTCTCATTATTATTTTATGAACACTGATATTAACGTGGACTGTCATTAGGCAACATTCTTTTGGAAAGCAAAAAACTTACGATACTTTCAAAATGTGATAAGATTTTATTATCTAAATTTAGATCGCTAGCACTGCTCGTTATACATTTTGGGTACTAGCGTGTTTATAGAAACAGTAGACAAGCAGTGATCGCAATTAATACATGTGTTATCATGGATGTATGTATATGAACAAAATTCAATGTAACCACAATTTTTATTAATATTTCGGAAACTAATAAATAGCTAAAGTCAAAAGTTTATATTACAGTCTATCTCCCCTCCCTATCACCCTTCTTAAATTTCAAGTCCATCAGTTACCAGTGCTTCGGAAATAAAGCGAATCTGCGTAATTATTTTTTGTAATAAATAATTATATTATTAAGTATTCTATCTTTCTATTTAAAACTATTTAAACTATATGTTTAAAGAGAAATTGATATTTATGTTTGCAATTCATATATTTATAACAAAAAATTTTAATATTACGAGAGAAATTGTAAACTTACCTTTATAACAAAATTTTTATCACCATACGATATGTATAGAAGTTATATATTTTCTACTTTAGAATACATTTAAATATTGTAGTGTATAATAACATAATAGAAAAGTAATCTTTGATATGTAAGTGTAATATTTTTTATTACATGTTTAAAAATAATTATTTTTTTAAATATTTTAAATGTTCTAATCATAATAAATAAAACACTAAATTTAATTGATATTGTTCTAAAATATAAAAATTTTCATATTATAATAACCTTATTAATTAGATTAATCTTATTAACAAAAACTTTTAGTTCCTACATTCGTATAGTAATCAAACAAGAATATAGAATAAAATGATATATATATATATATATATATATATTTGCTGTCATATATAGTTACTAACATTAATTTTAATTCTGTTAATATTCAATTATTGAAACAAAGAAAGAATGTATAAATATTTACATATCATATATATCATTACATAAAATTTGGAAAAAATAACAATAAATTCTAAAAAAGTAACAAAAAAAAATTATGTTGATATTTACAAAAAATCTTTTTAACAAGTATAAGTATCTTATAACAATGCAGTTTTACAACTATGATTGAAAAATATTGTATAAGTATATAAACATTTAAATAATTTCTAAAAATATAATTCTATATCAATGTATATTAATATTATATGTATAAAATTATATTTATAAAAATATACTTTTGAAGTTCAAATATTAATATATTTTAAAAATATTAAATAAAATATATTATTCATATTTTTTAGGTAATAAATATATTTTCTATATTTTTCAGGTAATTAATTTTATATTTCATTCAATGAAAACAAAACTTGTCTTATTAAAGATAAAAATTTAAAAAACATCAGGTGTGAATTTATTAAAAATAAGTTTAAACTGTTAATATGGGTTCTGGACAAAGTGCACGCAAACTTACTATAAATAATGAAGAATAGATGTTATAGAAATATCAGAGTCTGTTGTGGAGCGATTAACTCAAAAAATGAATGAAGAAAAACCTAATGTAGCAAATGAAGTAAGATCTGCTACTTTAACAGATTCTAAAAAGACTGCATCTTCACAATTATCTCAGAGTGATATACCGGTAAATGCTGGATATCCTGTATATCAGCCACAATTAACTTTAACTGCTCTTCAAATACAGCAACAGAAAGAAAAAGAATTTCGAAATCAGGATAATTATTGGCAAAAACGTTTGCAGGATTTGGAACAAAAACATTCAGAAATTAATAATATTATTAATGCAGAATATAAAAAAGCTGCAGAGCAATTAAATGCCAGTGGTATGTATAAAGTTATTTATTATTTTTTAAAATATAAATAATTTATAAATAATCCTTTTTTTTAGTTTATAACAATTAAAACATAAACTTTTTAATTTTTTAAATGTTATAAATATTTTAATTATTAAATTTATTCACTAAATTTTAAATTATTTTTGTTGTATGTATGTGTGTCTATTTTTTAATCAAGTTTCATAATTTATTAAATTAAAAATAAAATATTTAATTATATATTTAATTATAAATTATTAATTATAAACCATTTGTTCTCAAAAATAAACAAAAACAAAATTTAAATTTCTATATATTTTAAGTGAATATTAATTATTATATAATAGTAAGTTGTTATATAAAAAATATTTTAAAATATTAAACAGTATAAGTATAATATTTTTTATAATTAAAATCATTTGAATTGTATTTTACAATTATACAAGTTTTTTAATTTCAGTTTTGTAAAGCTGATATTCTTGGTATTTTATTCATAAAGATGAAAATTGTATTTTTATACACTATATTAAAAAAAGAAGAACTTAATTATTTTAAAAATGTTAGCAAATCAGTGAAAGGATTTGAAATAAACTAAAGTTATAAAATAATATAATGATATAATGATATAATATAATAATATAATGAAAATCATAAAATTTTTTAAGATTTTAAATAATTGAAACAAGATTTTCTCAGAAAATAAGTCTAATGTGATAATTCAATATAATTTTTTGATTATAAAAAAATTTATATATTATTAATCTCATCTTTATTTTTTATATTTTTGGTTTTCTTCTCCCTTTTTCACTTTCTTCTTCGAATTTATCACTTTCTTACTCTATTTCCTCTGTCATTTATTATTCTAGTATTTTGCATATCTTCATTCTATATCAACATCATTTTCTAGATACCTAATTCATATAATTCATATTTTTTTTTCTTCTATTTCTATCCATATCCAATCTATTTATTATATTTTTAGATATTCTGAAAAGTTTATACTTCCAATTGTCATGAAATTTAAAGAGAAAAAGAAGAAAAGGAAGATGGATAGATATATGTATCTTCTATATGTATCTTCTCTTCTTATTTTAAATTCTCTATTTTTAATTGGTTGTATTTGTTTAATCATTCATTCTTTTTTTTAAATATTATTTCTTATTTTATCTGTTTTCTCTTGTTCGCTCATTAATTTTATCTGTTTCAATCTTTCTTCATATTTCTAATTTGAATTTCTTTTCTTTTTTTTGCATTTTGTTTAGTATTATATCTGGGTATATATCTATCCAAATTAGACATCATCTTATATATTTTAATTATCTTTTTCAGTTTGCTTTTTTCCTTCTACCCGTACTGTTCCATCCCATAAATCATCATGTTCCTTACAAGATAATTGAATATGATCATTCTTCTTAAATTTGTACTTAAAGTACTTTTTCCTTATGCTCCACACTTGTATGGCTGCCAAATTTTTTTCTACCTCAGAAGATGTAAGTCTACTTCAATTTTATCCCCAGGTATACAAATTCGTTTACTATTTCTAATTCTAACTCTTTGCATCTCCTTACATTACTTTTTCTTATTTACTTTTAACTTTTATCTTTACTAAAAACTACATATTATTTTTAATTTCCTCATAATATCACACTCTACAACATTCTAACAAAAATAATTCAATAAATATTATTGATATAATTTATAATAGAATAATCTTTATAAATTTAAATATGTTTCAAGAAAGTTTTTAAAAATATAAAATTTAAATTATAGAAAAAAATAAATTTTTTTCAGGAAAAATAAAAAGGTTTAAATAGAAATAATTCATAAAAATAAAATTATTAATAGAATATTTAATTATTAAATTTTTTTTAAGAATATAATAAGTATATATCATTATATAATTTATGAAACTTTAATGAAACAATTAAACAATTGCTTCATTAGATTGAATTAATAAAATTCAGTATTTTAATTATAATTTTTTCATATTTTAATATTTATAATAGTTATATAATCATACATTTATTTATATTTATTTATATTTATTATATATTATTATTAATATATATATAATATTTTTCATATGGTATATTTTATAAATTAAATAATTATTAAATAATATATATATAAATAATATATATTAAATAATTATTTATTATATATACACATGCATACATATATAGATAAATTATATATTATTATTATTATTATTATTATTATTATTATTATTATTTATTAATATATTCATGAGACAACTTTTGAAGTTGATTCTGAAAATTAAATAAATATAAAAATATCAATTGAAACTTATTTATTAAATTATAAGCAATTTAAGTTTATGTTTAAAAGATAATAAATGTAAATATAAGAAACTTATATTAACATTATATATTATAAAAATTAATTAATTTCTTTATTGTTTTTTTTACAGATAAGGATGGCATAAATGCTCAAGATTCTATTCAACCATGTAAAAGCAATTCTGATAAAGTGTTCAAATGTTATCAAGATTATCCTAAAGAAATTTTAAACTGTTCTAATTTAGTTGAAGAATTTTCTAATTGTGTAGATCAACGCCGAGCACAAGTGATTGCAGCACGTTAACGTATTTTAATATTAAATCATTGATAGTCTAACCAAATGTAATGTAATTTAATAATAAATTTTAGTTTTTGAAAATAAATTATACAATATATAATCAGATTTTGAAAAATTATTTTTACAATATTACTAATAATAAATATTTTAAAAAATTTAAACAATATAATACTAAGTTTAATCAATAAAAATTACTTAATTAAAATTAAGAAAAGAAAAAAACAACTGTGAAGTGTTTAATATCAATAATTTTAAAATTATTAATGTTAAAATATTATAGAATATTTCTTTTAACTGTAAATAATGGAATATTATAATTTTGTATTAACAAAATATTATTTTATGTTAAAATTTAATAACCAGAAATATAATACAATTATGTTAATAATTATATATTACTATTATACTATATTTAATATTCATCTTATAGATATATACATATTTATAAAATTTAATGTAATTGCATTATATTTTTGTAAATATTTTAAAAATTAAAATTAACGATTAAACAACAATTATATATAGAGAGACAAAAATTATTTAAAATATATAAAATATTTATATATTTAAAAATAATCAAAATTCATGACGTCACATATTCATAGATTAACTGAGTTTTGTTTGAAATCGGTCATTATTTATCGAGTTACATACATAACAATTTAAAGAACTTAATAACTTAATAACAATTAAAGAATTTAAATAGTTTCGAGAAAAATATATTTCAATGAAGTTTTAAAATATTTATAATCTGAATTTTTTTAATTTTCTCATAATAATTATTAAAATTCATATATCTTACAAGGATTATTCCAATCTTTGAAGATAAACAACAATATATAATAGAGATTCCCGTATCCGAACTAATATATTATATAAGAGAGACAAAAGGAATCGGATAATAGAACAATTACTTTTTTTTGCATTAAATTTCATTTATTTAAATAGAAATGAACAAAATTAACAATTTTTTTTCAACATTTAAGAGTCCCATATTATTTGAGCCACTAAGTCATTTCACTAAGTCATCATAAATTTTTTATTGTAAACAACTACATAGAATTACATTCCCGTTACACCTTAAACCATCGAACCATCCACCATTCTTTGCACTTTCACCATTTTCAAGATCTTTAATTATTTTATATTTTTCTTCAATAGTTAAAACTATATGTTTTTGTTTACTTTATACTTTGCCATTATGATATCGTTTTTTGCTTCAGATTAAATTGATATGATTACATTTAATCGGCCGAATACAAGAAAATATTTATTGTATTTATGTTATAATCTAAATATACTGTATATAAACATCGCTACGAAACGTTCTGTAGACAGACATACGGATAATAAAACGTCTTTATATTAGAGTATTTGAATAATGGGAAATCTTTACTGTATATCAATATATATAAATTATTGTGCTGTTCATGCATCTCATGAATATTGCAAATATATTATTGTAACATTATATTCACATTTATTACTGATTGATACATGTACTTGTTTTATGTTTTAAAAATATTAAGTTTATCAAAATCAACTAATAATATCTACATTTTGTTCAAATATCTTTTTTTACATATAGCAAATCTGGAAAATTTATATTTATCCCTATAAATGATTTGCTAACACTCTATGGTTTTTTTTTTAGATTTTCTTGAATTGAATATTATAAATGTTTTATTTTCTAAAGCATAATACTGATAAAAGAATTTGCTAAAACAAATCTATAGAGAAGTTTATCACTTTTGCCCTACATATACTAGTAATTAGTATAGTTACTAGTATATTAAATATTTACTACTTACGTCCATTATAATGACAAAGCAATTTTATTATATTTAATTATATGTACATACACACACACACACACACACACACACACACATATATTAGAGTCCAGATAATCCAATCATTTATATCTTATGTACAGTTTAGATCACATATGAAAGAGCCGGTGATAGAAACATACATTCCAAGTCTGACGTCTGTCTTACATTAGTTTTAATTACGTTATTTTATTCAGAATTTTAGAATAATATTTGAATTAATTGCCGGTATGTATCTTTTAATATTATTTTTACTAAAATAATATAATTTTTAAAATTACTCAAAATATAATACAATAATTATTGTTAAATTTACTATATCATTGCAATTTTTATCAGTTTAGTACTTTAAGACTAAATGTATTACAAATATTAAAATTATCAATGTATTACTTAGGTAATATTTTAACTTGAAATATTTTCATGAAATATTATAAATTAATAAAAATTCATTTTATTTTTTTAAAATATAAATAATTAAATATAAATGTATTATATAATTTTTAATAAATTAAAAGATTAGATAAAATATATAATTCAAATAAATTTATAATATTGGCTATTCTGATGATAAATCAATATTTTTTTTCACAGATATTTAGTTAAAATATTTACATATATAGTTAAAATATAGGTTAGGTTAGATTTTGAATGTAAAATAGTTTTGATTATAAATATCATTTCTAATATATATATATTTAAAGATATTCAAAATAATTTTAATAGATAATGTTTATCCTTTCAAGTTTTATTAATATTTATACTAAGAGTTTGAAAATAATTTTTATTATAATTATTTAAAATAAAAAATTGATTAAAGTTAAATAGTTATAATAAAAGTTAAATAATAAATAGTTGAATAATTAATATTTTATCAGAATAATAAAATAGAGATTATATTTTAAAAAAATATTTCATTAAAGTCAGTAGAACTTTTATTAAAAAATTTCATTGTTACATAAAAAAATTTTAACATTGCATTATGCTATAAATTTGATCATTAAATTTTTATTCAAATTTAATGATTTAATTTATTTAATATTAAAATATTAAAGAAAATATAAAATTACTAAATTTTTTTATAAATAAATTTTAATGAAATTACTCAATAATATTTATTCAAATTAAAAAATATAGAAAATGAATATTTAATTTAATATTTACTAAATTAGTTTAAGTTTTATTTATTATAAATATTTGTATTTATTTTTGTAATTTATAATCTTTTTTCGTATTTATAATAATTTTTTCTTGGAATTTTTTAGATGTGTTTAAATTAAAACAATGAGTTTGCAATGGACTTTAGTTGCTGCATTTCTTTATATTGAAATTGCAGTAGTATTATTATTGGTTTTGCCAATAATTTCTGCACCAAGATGGCAAAAGTTTTTTAAATCTAAATTTTTAAAAAGATTAAGTAATCAAGCATCAATTATTTTTTAATTTTAATTGCAATATTAGTTTTGTTTTTATTAGATGCCATTAGAGAAATACGAAAATATTCTATAATTGATGAACATAAAGAACATCATTTAGATGCTGAAATGCAAGGTATATTTATATTTTTATTATATTATTACATTATATTAGTACATTATTACATATTATTATAATATTACATAAATTATATACATATATTATATATATTTTATCTATTTTAAAAATTAATTTAATTATAATGTTGTCATATTATTTTATATTTTAGGTAACATGAGATTATTCAGAGCAGAACGGAATTTTTATATATCTGGTTTTGCATTGTTTTTATGTCTTGTTATACAAAGGCTTGTGATTTTAATTTCTACACAAGCTACTTTATTAGCACAAAATGAAGCAGCTATACGACAAGCACAATCTGCAACTACCACAGCAAAGCAATTATTGTCACAAAAAACAGAAAGTACACAGAATGACTTAAATGAAGTTCACAATGAAGAGATAGTAGAATGGAAAAATCAAATTAAAAACTTACAAACAAAAAATAGAGAATTGGAAGATCAGCTTATAAAAGAAAAGAAAGATAAAGAAGCTTTGAAATCTCAAGCTGAATCACTTGCTAAAGAATATGATCGATTAAATGATGAATATAATAATCGTCTTCAATCAAATGGTGATAAGAAAAGTGATTAAATATTTTATTTTATTATTTTTTTATTTTTAATTTTAGTTATATTTTTCAATTTTAAATTTTATTATTATATTTTGAGGTGATAACTTTTATTGTAGGGGAAAATAATTGTTCTAAACTATTATATATATATGGAAAATTCTAACCGAAATAGTTTTAAAAAATTAAAATAATTTTAAAGCATATTATTTTGATTCTAATAGTTCAAAATTTATTATATATTATTTATAATATATATATTGTTTATATAAAATATTGTACTAATTTATATGTATTAAATATACACTTGTATATTGATACAATATTTAGTATACAATATAAGTTATAATATATAATTATTGTTAATTTCTTTCATGAATTATAAGTCGAAGACTTATAATATAAGAATATTATAACTATTTAAAATTTATTTTTTTATAATTAGTATATAGAAAAGAATATTTATTTTTAAAAAGTTTGTCGAAAGGGATTAAACGATATTTTATTTTATTTTTCTTTTTGTTAATTATTTATTCAGTTTTTATATAAAATTTTTTGTTAGTGATGATTTTAGCAGATATCAGAGCTGATGACCATCAAGAGTTTGAATTTGAAAAGATCACTAATTGAAAAACTATTATAATTATTATAAATAACAATTAAAAATATATGTGTCTATATATAATATCAACAATTTTAGAATATTTCATGTTTTAAATTTGCCAGATACAAAAGAAAATTCTATTATATAAAATTTGGTTAGCGGTGGATTTAGTAGCTTAAAATTGATAATCATGACAGATTATTATGCGTGCTAATTATGAATTAATGTAGTTTTTATTATTTTTTGAAAAAAATATGTTGTTATAGAATTATACAAAGCTGTGTGCAAAGAGAAATCCTTAATATTTTCAAATATAAAAATTATTTTTTTTGAACTTATTAGCAGAATAATTTTTCTTTTAAAACATAAAAAAAACTATTTTAGAAATACATTATCAAAAATTAAATAATGGCATTATTACGTAAAGTTAAAAGTATAATTAACAATATATAAAATAAGAAAAAAAATTCATGAAACAAAAAAAAATTTGTTTAATATAATAACTGTTTGTAAAAAATATAATTAGTGTTTTTAATAACTTTGCTTATTTTTATGCTCTAATATATAATATATAATATTTTTGTACATCTATTGTTGTTTTTATGTTATTATATTTAAATTATATGCAGTCTTATTTCATATGCATATTTATTATATTTCATATTTTATATAATATTAAATTTTTTTGATTTTATATATTTAAAATATATAAAAATATATAAAACTAATTGAATTCTTGTATGAATATTTTGTGTTTCTATCCCAAAATCCCAAAAACTATATTGCTTAAGAACTTTTTTAAATTCACCGCTTAATAATTCATTGATTATATTGAAATTGAATATTTTATATTATTTTATATTATATATGTATATTATAGATATTATATATATATTATATATTATATATATAATAAAAAATATGAAATAAATTGAACAAGTTGTAAAGAAGTATATGTTATATTTTGAGCGATGTGATTCTATAATAAAACCATAGATGCAAAATAAACAATTCTTTTGAAAATGTCATTTATTACGGATCAAATACTATTCGATTGGCTCTATTTTTGAATAACATAGAGACAAGTTTTTTTTTTAGAGAAAACACGATGTGCGAAAGACTTAAAATAGCGGAAAATCATAAAGTGATTGATCAAGCAACAATATTTAAAAAAAAATAAAATATGATATGTCTTATTTTGGCATTAAGCTATTGTGAACACATCTAGAATCATATAAAATATGCTTTAATTTACTATTATTATAGTTATAATTTACTATAATTATATATACTATATTTAATTATTTTAATATTACATGTATGTATTTATTTTAAAATTACTAATATAAAGTAATATGCGATTCATTATTTCGATTAATATTTAAATTTAAATTTAAATTTTGTTATTGTTAAATCACTGTCACTATTTAAAATATTTATAAAATCACTTTTTGCGATGTTAGCAAAATTTTCACTATCATCAACAACGTTTAATATTTTTTTTTGACATTTTTAAAAGTATTTTTTTAATATTTTTTAAAAAAATATATCTATATCTATATCCAAATGCCAAGAAAATTAGTCGCGCGTAGCCCGATCGTCGTATCATGTCTCTCACATAGGTTGTCTAGGGTTGTCTAGGTTTGTTTAGGGTTTGGCCTGATCGTACATCGTATTATGTTTCTCACATGATATTATAAGTTAAGAGATTAGTCATTTTAATTATCATGTTTAATATTATAGAAAAAATAAATAATTGTAAATAATAATATTGTATATTCTATTTAATCTTAAAAATATTTTAAGATTAATTTAAATATGATTATTTTTAAATCGTCGAAAGAGCATTTTATGAATATATAATTTATGACTACAAGATTTGTTTTGTTTTGTCCAAGAGGATGGCAGGTTATGACATCAAGATTTGGTGTAAATTTGGTGTCAAAAATTGGTATAAGATTTATTATTTATTTTGGTACAGAGATATATACCCATACCTCGCTTTACGATCTAAATACGTTCCGGAAAAGTTAAGCGAAAAGCCATATAACTCGTACAAATTCAATTGGATTTGTTCAAATTTTTTATAAAATAATATAGTTTTTAATTCATAAAATATTTTTTTGGCCATATAACGAAATTATGGAGCGTAAATCGAAAAAATGCCATAATTAAAAAAGGGAGTTCTAGCGAAATACTATATAAAGAGTGGCCGTATAACGAGGTATAGGTATATTTGAATTTATAATGAAATTTGACGTTAATTTGTAGATATTGGGTATTAATTTGATGCTATGTTGTAACCAAATTTTTTGAATAAAAAATACTCGATTTTTAAAAACATGTTAGCTAATAAAAATTTCATTTCTTATATTTGATAGTATTTGTAAATGAAAATGAGATTCTATTACTTATTTTTATGGTTTTATTACATTTAATAACTAAAAAAAAAAAAATAATTTGCAATAAGTTTTCATGTAATGAAATATTTGTAAAATGCAATTATGCAGATATATAATATAATATTAATATATATCCTATTAATCACTATAAAAATCATTAAAAAGGAGATTTATCCTTTTTCATGAGCTCTAATGGAATTTAAAATATAACTAAAAGTAAGTATTTTCACATGAAAAAATATATATTTAAATGTATATTATATATATCTAAAAATTGATTTTAATTTGAAAGTGATATTTTATTATTATTTATATGTTTAAACAATAGTCATTGACATTGGTATATATTTGTTGCTCATAAATATAATTGTACTTATTATTAACTATAATTATGATATAAAAAATATTATTTTTAATGATAATTTATATTTACATAATTATATATTTTCTTTAATATATTATAATTAGAGATTATTTATTTATAAGAGATATTATTTAAATTAGTTTATATAAAAATTTATTCTGTTTAGATTTTTTAAAATAAATATGGCTACTTCAAATGATGAAAAGGTAAATTTGCATATTTCTTGTTATTAATTTATTATTATATTGTCAAAATTATATTTTCATTTTATTAGATAGAAGCAATAAAATTTGCTAAAGAATATCATCAAAATTATTATGAACTTCTTCCTGATTGGTTTCAATATGATTTTGAAAATTATGAACTTATAAGACATAAAATTGGATATGCTTTATTTGGTCTTCCTAAAATAGATATAGACACTGACATTTCAAATATTTCTATAAGTACAAATGATAATAATCAATCAGATTATATATTTAAAAAAATAATATATGACAAAACAATGTGCAAAGTTATAAATACAATATATGAGAAGATAATAAAATATGGAAAAGACAACAATAATAGTTCTATATATATTGGAATTATATTTAATATAATATTTTTACAAACAAAAGTTTCACAGAAATCTAATGAAAAAGATAATATATCAAGTAAAGAGAATAATAACATATGTGTTTTACCAATATTTAAATTAAAAACATTACAATATGGTACATGGTATATTGATAATGAGGGCAGAATTTATAAAACTTGGAAAGATTACATATCAAACAATACATTACCTCCGTGTACTATGATTTTACCAAAAAATGGTTTATATCAATGTAATCCAAATTATAAAGTAACAGAATATTTTTCAAGTGTATGGATTGAAATATTAGATTCTCCTGCTTGTACTTTTAAAAATAAAGTTCTTAAGGGCGTTGATGTTGCTGTAAATGCAATGTCCATAGTTACTAGTATCGGACTTAGTGCTGCTAGCTTTTTAACACCTATTGGACCAACTATTCTTACTGCAGGTACGAGTTATTTTATTTATGAATAAATAAAATAATTTATCATATACTTTTTATATTCATATATTTTTATTTGATTGATATTTTGATTGCTAGGTATAATTCATGGTGGAATTTGTGGAACATGGATTATTGCTAGAAATTCACAAAAATTAATAGATCTTGCTACACATAAACAATCCATCAATCCTATAAATAAAAATGCATTCTCTGCTTGGTTTGAAGTAAGTAGTACAGCTTTAACATTAGGAGCAAATAGTGGAAGTATGCTTATCTCAAAAGCTCTTTCAAGAGGCTGTACTATAAGTGCTGCAGCTAAAGTAGCTTATAATTCTGTGATATTGAGCAATTTAACTGTGAATGGTGCTGGTATAATTTACCAGGGATATCGTTTAATTGAAAAATATCAGATGGAAAAAAATGTTGATTTTTTGGATATAGCTATCTTTACTTCACAAATTTTATTCTTTAGTAATGTTTTAATAAAAACCAAATTAGCTAGTGAACTCATAATATCATCTAAAGGTACTATTCTTGAAAGACTCAAAAATGTTTTACGAGTTAATCGTTTAAAACAGGAATTTAATAAAATAAATGCATACAGTACTAAAGACATGCAAAATAAATCTGAAAGTATTATATATAAGATAAAAGAATTTGCTAACAAAGAAGATTTCTTAAATAGTTTAAGTAAAATGAATTGGAACAATAAATTTTCAATAAAATATCAGAATGGCAATATTGTTATAAATAATAAAATATTTATACATCCTATTCAGTTTACGACTCACTTATTGACGATTGGTGCAGTCGCATTTAATTTAATAGATCCACATTCATCGATAGTATCTAAGGAAAGAAATTATATAATGATTAATTTAAAAATTCTAATAAAACAATTGTTAAAAAATTTTTATGTAGAAAAACAATATTCAGATGAAATAATTCCCGATGTTAATTATTTTAACGAAATATTACAAGAAATAAAATACATGGATAACCCGGTTGATGTATTAACTAAGTGTTTCAAAATTGCTGTAACTATAGTAGAACATTGCAATGATCCCCGGCAATTCTTATGTGATGCTGTTTATTCTTATGGACATATTGTAAAGGAATTTAAAAGAATATGGTATAAACACCAATACTACTTCTAAGAACAAAATATTTAATGAATTAGCAAGAATTGTTATGTTTTTATATGAATGTATTGAGGTAATAGCCAATGAATTATTTTCAGCTTTTTATGCGTATATATCAACCACAAAACCCGAAATTAATAATTAAAATAGTCATGTTAAGTGATAATTAGATGCAGATATATGCATATATATATGCATCTATACAAAATTTAAATATATAAAAATCTATAGAATACATATTACATGTAAAAAAAATACATAAATGTACAAAATATGCACTATGATATTTGGAATATGATATTTATGAAACAATTATTGTATTTAAATAAAATGATTTATTTATTTTATTTTTAATTTTTATACGATTCATATGATGATCTGAAAATAAATAAAAAAAAAATTTAATTTTTTGCACAGAAGTGAAGGCATTCGTTTATTTCATTTCTCCCAAATATTTAAATACAACTCACACAAATATATACAGACGATACTGAGCACATTTACAATTGATTCATCTGATCATTGGTCACATTATCATTTAAGAGATATTCATAAAGCAAATGTTACAATTGTTATCAATTTAAAAAATATGGATCGTATCGTAATATCGTATAAGTGCAAGTTAATAATAAATTAAAAACTGACAAAATACTCGAATACAGCTTGTATCACGTAATATTAAAAATCATCGTCGAATGAATAGGACTGCATTCTTGGCCTTCTGAACTTAAAAAATTCGTAATAAAATTAGTCGAAGAAATTTATGACATTTTACGAATTATCAAATTTTCATCACATATATAACATTTGAAGAACGTGTACTGTCCCGCGAATAAATTCATGAAACATCGTTGCCCATCGAATCTTATTTAATTATGTATTGACGAGATATGTGACGTTATAACCTAAATTAATTTATTCAAATAAATTACTTAGGTATATAACAGACAAACGAATAAATTACACCTTTAAAGTATTAATTCGTCATTTATCGATCACTAAATGACGATAATACTGATCCACGGATTAAACGAATTTTCGGATCGAGAAAAATTTAATCTAATCGTATAATTTATAACCGAATATAAATATATAATATAAAAAATTCTACGAATAAATATTAATTATTGAAATTTTTTTTTATCTACAAAATATATCGTTTCGTTACACAAGCGTAATTAAGAATAAATCTTGACGTGCGATTCGATTCCGACAATTTTCTTTAAACATGAGTCAAAATATTTGACGTTGATATTAATTATTATAATTGTTTTATAATAATTAATACCGTATACACACGGCGTATATAAATACATCGTTGATTATAATCGGCACATGCACGCTTTTTCTTTTTTTTTTTTGTTTTTAACAATTATATAATTAATTACATCATAACACGTATTTTTTAAACGATGATCACCATTCGAACTCTGGTGTTATACACTTCTGTAAATAATATTACTTAATTCGCTTATCTATCGTTTATTCGCAAACATCATTTACCTATGTGCGTTGGAAGAGATAAAAGAAAAAAATATTTTATCTCTTTCTCTCGCATATATCTGCACTATTTCGTTTCGTTATATATTATGTACAAGTATCACGGAAACGAGAGTGCAAAAAAAAATAGGTTTCTTGAATAAGATTATGCACGATTTGTATTCGCAAAAATGCAGAAATGTATATGTGTATATCATATTTCGATTATTTTCTTTTCTTATTTCTTTTTCTTTTTTTTCCTTTTTTTTCTTTTTTTTTTTGTTCTTTTTTTTTTACATTAAAACTGACTGCAGCTTGGTCATCGATTTATTTTTAGCTAACTATTCTAAATTTTTTCGTCGATAAATAAAATAGGTTTTTACCTATTCTGCTTTGTGATTTCTCCCGAGAAACAGCGATTGGAATGTATATATATATATATACGTGTGTTCATTGAATCTGTATTGAACGTGTTCGAATGTAATAAATTTGATGGAAGCCCCTGCATGCTTCTATTTCTTTGATTTTTGCAATTTTAGTAAATAGGGGTAAGTAGATTTTACTTGCAATCGAATCATTAAATATTGTTACTATCAATATTATCAATATTAAATAATATTTATATATTATATTTAATATGTATATTATTTATATTAATATTAATTAGAATAATTATTATTAATATTGATAATATTAATTATCAACATTTTTATAGGAATAATATATCAATTAGGATGTACAGAGTATCTTAATTACTTGATGAATTTTTTTTTAATCCTTTGAGCTTTTATTTCAAAAGATCGAGAGCTTCCAAATTCGAACAACAGTCTTATAATTAATTCCAGAATTCAATGCTGATTAAATAACTTTCTAATATTATGTGAAAAGATGATTGATATTATGTGCACGAACGCGGCTATTGATTATATTATTATACAAATGAAAATTTTGAAATGGAATGAGGAATAAAATTCGAACTCGAAAAATCGCACAATTGATGTACAAAGTATAATTCTTTTTTCTAATTGGTCGTATAAAACTTCGTTAAAATATGTGTTTAAAAAAAATAGAATAGAAGATAAAGCAAAGAGTAAAAATATAATTAAAATATACTATTACAATAAAAATATAATAAAATATTGTAAATATATTGTAAATATATTCTCAAATAAACATTATATATTTAAACAAAGTAATTTTTTTCATTTTTCTCAATGAATAATTTTATTATTTGATATATTTATGAGAATTTTTTTTTTTAAAATTCAACAAATTGTAACTTTTTTTCTGTCTATAAAATAAAACAAAAAATCAATCAAATATTCAAATATTTAATTCAAATATTCTGATTATTCATAATAATTTTTTCAACTTTTAAATTTTGTTTAATTTTGAAATTTTGTTTATTTTTTCTTTTTTAAATGAGAATTCTTTTTCTCTCAAATGAACAAATTTTTTTCTTTAAATATTTATTTATGACAATTGACTATAAAATGAAACTCAATGAACATTAATCTATTATTAAATTAAAACTTTAAACATTTAATATGCATCAATCTAATACTTTTAGTGCTTATACACGCAATAAAAATGTAAAACAATATATTAAAAATCGGGAATTCCCAAGTAATAAATTTATTATTAATTAATAATTTATACCAAGATATTCATATCATTATATTATATCAACATATTCGTAAATGAGATGACGAATTAACTCGTTTAATGGATTAAATACTATAAAACTGGTTTTAGATATACATATTTTGGAGTGCATTTAATTAATTTATAGGATAATTCGTGATATTAAAATTAATCGAAATTAGATGGAAATTAGATGTCTCTTCGTGACAATGTTTCAAATCCTTCGAGAGTTTTAATACTTAATAAACGACCCGAGTCGAGGTTTTTTGTTAAAGTCTCTTTCATACGATAGATCGAGTTTCTTTTCGACTAATCATACTTTCGAACGTTCGAAATAGATGATTATTATTCTTATGTCCCCATATAGGCACAACAGGTTCTTTCATTCAAGTTTGCCGATTGTTACACAATTATTTTGATCGTATTATTTTTCGATGCCACGATATGATACTATTAAAATTAATTAACCCTTTCACCTTTATCGAAATTATTTTAATAATGTTAATCTGTAATACAATCGATAATCGATAATTTGAATTATTATTTATGTTAATTTTATTATTATTAACAAAAATATAATTTGTGTTTTTACATCTACTTATATTCTATAACAGAATATAAATTATTTGTACGAAATAAGGATGATAATATAGGATTAACAATATGCTTTATGATCTTTTAAATAGGTTATATATACTATAAACATTATGTATTTGGAATTTGTTTTATAATAAAAAATATGAAATTCTCTTTTAATTGAATTAAAGATTTCGAATGATTTAAAAGGATTGTTGCGATCATCCTCTCAGATGATATATAATTTAATATTAAAGTACATTATAAATAATAAATGTATCATACAAAGTCAAGCACGAGTCAAATTACAAATATAATAACACAATAACAAGACAAATCATCTCGAAAAATCATCTCGAAAATGTACATCGATTCAAATATTCCTCCTCTCAAATCATAAACCATCGATTTCATTGGTGAAAGAGTTAAGGTTCGTCATCAATCATCCAGCGATCCCAGTTCCAAGCTAAATCACAGCTCGGGTAACACCCGATTTCTCACCAACGAAGAATACACGATATAATAAATAATCCGCCGTTGGAAAAAAACGCGAGATCGAATCGATTCGTCACGAATCGTCATCGTATATAATAACACGCCACCGTGTACATTCTCGAAGCCAGCTAAGCTAGATAAGTCCTCGGCTTTGGATTGCCGGAATCGTCTTTCGTGGTGCACGACCAGGCTTCCTCGGCCAAGCTTCCGTATCTTTGAACACCAGGAAACGGCGGCCCGGTGCTTTGCGGCGAGTAATAGCCGCCCTTCAACTGATAATAGTTACCAGCAGTAGCCTGTTGATATTGGTACTGGTCGCCGTGTAGAACGTTGCTGTAGCCTGAATACGAGCCATACTGGGAGGAAGAATACGATGAGGAGTATCCCCGCTCGCTCAGGCTTCTGTAAGGCCCCGAATGTTGGGGCCTACCCTCCTGTCAAACGGGGGTGCTCACCGCAGCGCTCGTTATATAGTCGATGTCGCCTATGCTCTTCACCCTACGGTGTCTCTTGTTGCCTGTGATGGGTCTGGGTGGCAGTTGCGGGGGTGGCGGTGAGTTGCTCCTGGCGCTGCTCATGTACTGGCTGGCGAGGCTTCCGGTGTCCGACGAAGACGATGGCGAGGCCTTTTCGCTCCTCGGTCGTAGACCAAACGCTCTGCTCAACGATCCCTGTTGAGGATTGAATTGAATTAGTTAGTTGAACATGAGTGGAATTTTTCAACATGGTGGCCTCCATTTTTAACATGGGAAATACGGTAGGTCTCATATTGAAATATATATTTGGAGGGGAGAGGGGAGAAATATTTTTTCCATTTGAGACATTTTTGTGGGGCTATCGAAGAAAAATTTACTGTAATTCCTGGATAATATTGAACATTTTTTTAATATATAATGATTTCCATTCCATGTACCAATTTTACGAACGATCATTTAACAGAAACTTTATTCGTTTCTAAGAAATGATCAAATTTAATTCAATTTAAAAGATACATCATTTGATGTAATAATGATATCGTGATAAAATACGAATGGAAAGATTTTAATATTTTTTAGATTAAAAGAGAATAGAGGATTAAATTTTTCTTACGATGATAAATACATTGAAATGTTTAGAAAATTTCATTTATAAATGGAAATCAT